ACCCGGTGCCACCCCGTGCCGCTCGCGGGGTTCCCCGGGACGGACTCGCTCGGCCCCGTCCCCCCCGCCCTTGGCCCGCGCAAAGCGAGTTGCCGCGCATTGCTCGGCAACCTAATTACGGGCTTAGGTATAACAAGTTTATTGCTCGGGCAGGGTTGCGTCCTGCGAGAATTAAAAACAAAGCACTTTGCGTGCTGTAAAAATAAAATTAGTTTATTGACGCCTCGAGGCACTTGAAACAAAATACGGTGAAGATTGCAACTCAAGTTTTAACATGAAGCAAGGTGAAAATGAATGCTTGGAGAGCGTGTGCCTCCTGGGTCGTGCTGAGCCGTGTCAGGTGTAGTGAGCGGCTGTAAGGCAAGTCGGAGAACGCTTCACGGATGCCGCAAGGAGCAGACTGCCCAGCGCGAGAGTTCGGTGTGCGCGTAAATCAGCCAGCATGATCCCTCTCGAAGGATTTCTTACTAGGATTTGTTGAAGTGCAGCGTTTACGTTATTTCAACTGGTCTTCAAAAAACATTAACAATTCATGTTAGTGCTTTATAATTGCTTGAGACTGTGATATCTTTTCCTTGGAACAAGGGAAGACTACAGCTCTCCTTTTGTATTTAATTTCTGTTTAACAGTTCAGGAAGCTTTTGTTTTGATTTTTTTTTCCTTTAATGTTTCAGTGAGAAAATTTGGCCATATATTGTGAAATAAACCAATGCTGAAACTTTATGATGGTGTTTTATTCCGCGTTATAAATTCTGTGTTTCAGACTTCTCAAATTATTCAATACCAGCCTGGGAGTGGCAGCAGTGAGCATATTGCAAAGCATGTCAGTTTTTTAAGGCTTTACAAAGTTACCGTAATTATCTTTTCCTCTCTTTGCCTATAGTCGTTTATATTTTCTGAACTAAACACAGTTTTAATGATAGAAATATCATAGACTCAGCTTAGAGCAGTTACTGTTTTCAAAATCAAGGATATATATGCCTATGCGGGAGAGGTTTTTGCTGGTCTTTGTCTTTTGTTTTTCTTAATCTAGAATAATTTTAGCTACTTTCAAAATGTTTCAGCAGACTTCTTTGAACTGTCTTGTTCAGGTGGCCCAGACAAATAGTCTCCTCCACAGGACTGTGCCGGTTCGGAAGTAGAATTGACTGCTGCTGGGGCTGGGCCCGATTGTCCTGGGGACAATGCCAACGTGAGTATCATCGCTGCTGGGGCTTCTAGTCACTTGTAGAAAAGGCTTGTACACACCTAGTCACATCTTTCACATGTTCATACACATTCTTACAATGCAGGGCTTAGGCTTTTGCATGTGTGAGTCTGACTTACTTAGAAGGATGTTGTCAGCTTAAAATTCTGTCTATCATTAACAGTACTAAAAATGATTGCAATCAAGTAAGGTAAACTTTAGTTACGGCAATGAGAATTTAGGAATTTCTGTTTGGTTTCTGCTTCATTTCGTGCTCTGGTCTAATAGCCTGACGTAACGCTACACTGTGTCATGTTACAAGCACTGCAGGGCGAGAATATTTGCATCCAAGAAGGAAACCCAAATTACTGACATTTCACTTAGAAATTTGATGGAAATGTTCCAATTAATATTAAGTACAAACATTCTTTCAGTAACCCCAAACTAAGGGTATAAATCCGCCTGACAGCATCCTTTTACTGGGTCACATGTGAAGAGAAACATCTCTGAGATTCTCACATCTATCTAGAATCTTTGATATAATTGCAGGATAACCAAGTAGATAAGTATTCATCATTAACTACATCTTCAAAAAGTATTCTGTGGTGGCAGCTAGCACTGTGTAGAAGTTAAAATTGTCAGGAGCGTCATAGAGACCTTAGCTTGTTAAAATTGCAGCCTTTGATACTGGGGCACTTGCTCATGTGTTTAACAGTGCATACATGAGTGATATCCCCTAAGTTTTTGCAGGAGTGAACCTATAAATACTGGTTCTCCTTTTTTTTTAATTATTTATTTAGATGAAAATGTCTGCAAACTGGATCATTTCCTGCCAAGCCATTTTTAAAGTAAAACAGGTATTAAATACTGTAAGTTGCTTAGTCTGCAGGGCAGTGACTATAGGTGGCAAATATTAGGCAAAAGGTAAAAACAGCATTGGCAATGCAACTGTAGACTCTCAGCAAAGGTTTTGTTCAAATCTGTAAACAGCAAGACTGGATTCTTCCTTCCCAAGTGTGTTAAAAGCCCACAATGTTTAATAGGTATCTAAGATGACTGGTAAAAAAGCTATGTAAAGTACTTCTGGAACATAACATCCCTGATACGGTTTTTTGATGCAGAGTTCTCAGGTTGCTATCTCTCAGGCCATACCATGAATCATTTTGATTTTTAGGGCTGTAGTTGGTAACATGTAGTCCTTTCCTTGGGATCAATGTTTATAGAGAAGGAAGGAGAATGTGAGATAGGTTGATTGAGGCTACTCCAGAGATGATGGAATCTCTGTCCATCTTTCATAACACAGTTTTATTTGAAAATCATTGAGCATTTAAATGTTTGAGGCTACGAAGGCTTAACTGACAAGTATCAATAATTTGCATTGTTTAAAAAAAAAAAAAAGGGCAACAACAAAACCAAAAAAACCCAAACCACTAAAAGGGTCTCACTGTGGCCCTTTTCTTAGACAAGTTGTCTCCTGTGTTGTGACCATAAATTGCAGCTCATGTTTAGGTGGAAATCAATTTCAGTTATATTTGTCCTTTAATTTCTCACTGTTACCAAGTCTGACTTGGGGTTGCATTTTTGTGATCTTGGGAGACAGGAATAGCATAAAGTGATACTATCAAAAGATTCATAACTAAAAGTTGAAAACGAGACAAAAGTAATAATACACAGAAAGTATTTTTTGTTTTTTACTCTCTGAATTTTGGCACTACAAATGACCTTATTGACAACTTCTTCAGATACCATAAATGCTCTTTTTTTAAGGCTAAAGCTAGGTGAGTTCTCACTTCCTTCTGTTGCATTTTAGTCTATTATTCACAGATTTGTTCTCCATGCACGTTTCCAAGTAGTGCAGAGGTGGATTTTATGTGGTCATCTCCAGTACTTGGGACCAGACTTTCAAAAGAATACAGTTTTCACTTAGGTGTCTAAATGCATTTTTTTCCCATTTTTTTCACACACTGGGTGCTGATAATTTTTGAATTGCTGGTTCAGAAGAGTCTCAGACATTTGGGTGAAGAACTTCTTGCTAAAAACTTAGCAGCTCCTCCTAGTTTTTAAATGGGACTCAAACCCTTAGCAAAATCAAGTAAGAAAATCTGCCCCAGTTGTGGGTGGTGAAAATTCCAGTCATATCACGGGGTGGGAGACTGCACTAAATGAAAGTGAATCTTTCTAGTGCTCGCAGCCAAATAGAAAATGTGTAGTCAACTCTCCACCTTGGGAATGTGGCATTTGGTATGAAAGATTAACCTGGCACAGCAGGAAGCATTCCTGGCCTCAAAGGAAAACTTGAGTGTTTTACTGTACAAAGGAATATCACTGAAAAATTTCCAAAAAGCCAAGTACGCAATTATTTCTCCTGCTTTCTCTATGGAGAAAGGCAAACCTCTTAGTCCTGTCCCCGAAAGGAGTGGCGTAAATACATATCAGACTTTCTCTACTAGATGTACGTTTTCTTTGCCATTTCTAGAATAAATTATATTTACACAATAAAAACAAGTATAGAGTCAGGCTTAAAAATTAGTAGTGAGACCCAATTTACAAATGAGTCCAAAAAGAAGGCAATAATGCTAAGCTCTTTATTAGTGAGCTTGAACTGCTTTTCTCAAACTAGTTTGAGCCATCCTGGGTATGCCTGCAAGCGCTATAGCACCTTTGGACTCTCACCTGCTTACTCATGCATAGTTTACTATGTAGGCACTGATCACCTCTGAATTTATCTTTCTGACAACAAATGTAAGGTGAGAGCCATGTTGGAGCCAGAGTGTAGCAAGAATATAGGCTCCGGTACATGACAGGGTTGTCCCAGTTTACAGAGACCTCTGAACCATGATGAGCCATGGGCAAGTGATTGCTAACATACCTGGATACATTTTCTGCTGTCCAGCTGAGCTGCTCCACCAAACATGTGTGGGCATGCCTTCTGCCCATGGCTATTGAGAAAAAAATGTGTTAGTTTAAACCAACTGTGTGATTTAAGGTAATGGTTTAATTGTGACAGAAGTTTAAGCCTGTATATGTCAGCTCTAACAGGGTAGGATTGTGGCACAGCTGACAAGCAGTAACTCATTAAGCCTTGGTAACTCAGTCCTCCTGATCTTCCATCCATAATCCATCCATACAGTTGCAAATGGAAACTGAACTGTGTTAGCTAAACTTGCTTTTGTGAAGTGTGGAGTAATTCCTTTTATGTCCCTTTGACTGACAAAGGAGTGCACATAGAGCATAATCGTGCTTACTGCTGCTTAGTAACACAAGTCAGCATAACACAGCTGTCTTTCACTCTTATAAACACGTAGGAAGAAGTTGAAATCAGGCCCCTCCTTTAATTTACACTCTTCCTTTAAAACATCTTCTGTCTCCTGTTAATAAATTACACCAGTCAAGACTTGTACATGTAAGGAAGTGCATGTAGGTCTGATCTGTCTGTAAACTTGCTTCCAAAGCCTGTCAGTGTCAGCTGTAACATCTCAGCTAGTAGAAATACTCTTTCTTCAGTGATGTGAAATTGCCTTCCCAAATGCTCTTTACGATTCCAGCAAACGCACTTTGAAGATGTCCCTCCAACTGAAATAATCAAGAACTTTGAAACAGGTTGGATTTTTTTTTCCCTTCCTTGCAGGTTGCGAACACCAAAGTGAGATCCAGGTTTAGGCAACTAGGTCCATTTTGAGATTGATACAAATATTGCCATATCTTCAAAGGGGCTAAACAAACGTAACTCAGATGAATTCATTGGCATTTCTAAGTCCTTGTAAATTGAAAATCCATCACACTTATTTAGTGGCCTAATCTAGATTTAGAACGGTGGATATATTCCATCCCTAACGTAACTAAGTAGCCTTTCTGAGGTTTTGATCTGGTATATAAACCAGGTTTATTGGTTAAACCTGGTGTGTAGAAAGGCTAATTTGGAAGCAGCAGAAATGTTGTTTAAGCAACAACTCTTAGTTTATCTGAAGTAACCTCATCATTGGTAGAGCTGATCCTTTACACTGATGGACTCACAGCATCAGTGCTTTAAAGTTAGATGTTAAACATCCCAGTTGAAATTAGTCCAAAAATCCCATGTTGTTGCCCAGCCTGCAGGATTTACTTGCTCCTTAATAAATAGTAGTGGGAGTAATCACGCAGAAGCCTACTTCTGTGAAAAATGTTACGTTGATAAAGTACCTGATAAGATGTGTGTGAAAATAGGGCTGTTGTCTTGCATTTTTATGTGTTATTGTGCACACAGCAAAACTATAACCCAGAGCAAAAGTGAGGCTAGAAAGAGTTTCTTCTGGATTTCTGCTCTCAGGGTAGGGGGTTTTGACTTCCTGTGGCAGAATGTTTTTAGTGAGAGCAGATATCAACAGTACGTTTTTAATTCATAACTCCTTTTGCATTGTAAGGCATCTGCATCTGTGGTACTGAGTGTGTTGTCCTAACCGAGAACACATTAAATGGGTTTTAAAGTACACAGAGAAAACGAAGTCAGGGTATGCATCATTGCACACATCTTGCACAAATGCACTTTTCTGTGTGCCAGCAGAAAAAATTGGCCTTAGGAAGTGGATTCAACTTTTTTTTTTTTTAAATGTGTTATTCAGCATTAATTTTCATGGTTTGAAATACCTGGGGAAGAGAATTTCCAGCAGGGGTAGGGCTGGAGCTCAGTTCTTTGAGCTGAATGAGAAATGTCAACTGCAGAATGAAAACAGTCATGTCCATTCCTGTATTCTAGCTACTGTAGTCTAGGAGACCTGCTGAAGCTTGTCATCTCATCGCCCTAATAAGATGTCTGTGACAGTATTCTGCAGGGATGGCTGTCTTCCTGAGTGTTTCTCAAGGAAAGGATAATCTGGGCCTTGTTGTCCAAGTGTCTCTGCTAGGTCAGAGGTAGGCCAAGCAGCAGGAAAGTCCTTGGAACTGCTGCTGACTGACCCTTGCTGATAATTTGGTGTACAGAAATCAACTGTGAATATATACGCATATACTGAGCTCTGGAACCTGGTTAGCCTATCAGAAAACTAAAATATGGGATAAGAGATGCACTCATTTCATGCAGAGACTTATGTGAGAAGTAGTGTGATGCTTTTTATTCCTCAGTATGAAAATGGAAGTTCTTCCCTTCGGTTTCCAACAGGCTATGCTAGGGGTTATTTGAAAAATAGTAGTTCTTCGTGGATGTTTTTGCCACTAATCCATCTTGGTTCCCTGAAAGTTATGCTTAGAACGAATGGTCTACCTGCCTTGCTTTTAGCTGGCTTACAAATCTCTCTGTAGTTCTTTCAAAAGCTATAAAAATGGTTTCCACATGCGTGTGTCTTTCATGAACAAAATACACCTGCTTTGTACTTGGCTGCATGTCTGTTTGTAATTGATTTGTATGCTAGTTATATGTAGTCAAGGTACACTAAAGATGTAGGCTGCCTTTTGCTTCAAAATTTCAGCTGCAGTTTAACAGCAAAGAACTGTGGAAGGAGATACTACTTTAACATAGATTTAAAAGGTTAACAAGATTTTTTTTAAGAAAAACAATATAAACCAACTTGAATTCTCATTCTGGATTACAGTTTGGACAACTCCTTTGCTGGAGGTGATGGCAAAAATGGTTCCTTTTGCTGTATTCGCATATGTACAAAATAGAAGGTTGGATCTGCAGCTTCTATAAATGGATGCAGATCTACTGTCAGATCCCCTGTTGGCATGAGTCTGCATGACTGTTGGAGTCAGCAGAAGGCACTCTGAGATTTTGTCTGGTGGACAGACATTTTGACCAACAGAAGATGCTTAACAGGAATAAAATCCCACTGAACATGGATTTTACAAGTAGTGATGTTATTTGATTACTTCACTCATTTCAGTGTTGAATTCGGCTTGAACAATAACAAAGTCTACAAAGTCTGTCTTGAGAAGGGGTTGTGAAGATGAGTGTGGTCTTTCAGAGCATCCATCTGTTGTAACTCCATCTGGTTATCTCCCTCTGCTGAGGTTTGAGTGTTCTACCTAGGGAGCAAAACCAGAATAAGTCAACAAAGTAGTTTCCCACCACCTTACGCTAAAACCATGACAATTGGCTTTAAAAGCCTAGGGACAGAGCAATCAAGAAGGTGTGCAAATAGCCCATTAGTAAAAGTATAAGTCAAGCTATTAGTTCACACCTCCCCTTAGCATTGCGTCATTAAAAAATGTTAATTGAAGGATGTCAGGTTAGCACTGAGATTTAGCCAAACCTAGTAAAAAGCATAGTATTTCAGGAGGTTCTTAAAGAGGACCTGCAGGAGGGAGAGAGGGGAGCTTGTATAAGCTGATACAGCAGATGCAGGCATAACCAAATGCTTTGCTGGGAACTGTGCATGCTGCTGCCTTCTTAAAACAGTTGTGAAGAAACTTACACTGTCTGTGCTGCTGCTCCTGTCCTAATGAGCTTTATTTCTATTTATCTCCGTTCGCAGAGATGCAAGGTGGTGGTGGCGGGGCGGGGGAAGAGGTGGCTGTGCTCTCATTGATGCCTAGAAGGAGATTTTGTATAAGCAGCAATGATGTTGATGGGAGTTTACCCATCTAAATCATCTCATACATCAATGGGAGAAGAGGCCATGAGCTGCTTAGGACTTCTGTTTCTGGCACATAACAATGCTTTCAGTGGAAATGGCAATTCTGTATAGTCCAAGATGCACAAAAATAAAACCATGATTTTGTCAATAATGAGCCATGAAAATACTGGCTTCCAGGAGGCGAGGCTGGCCCACTAGCAGAAACCTCCTAAAGTCACTAAGAGTTTTGTTACTGAATTTGTGGATGCAAGAATACAGTCTATATTAATGCATTGTTTTGGCAATGTTTAATTAATATCGATATGCAGCATGTCTGCTTCTTCTAAAATGACCAATATTTTTGTGCATCCCTGGTACTTTTCAAAGAAAAGACATTTTATACAGAATTGCAATACTGCTATGCAAGAAAAAATGAGGTTTTGCTATTTTTATTCAGTTGGGTTTTTTTTTCAGTTTAGGAGCTTTATGCTCTTAAAGCAGTTATGACCATGTTAAAGATACAGTATCCTTTTCCACTTCCCCACTGCATCCCTCCTGCACTTCGTACACAGAATAATAGTTTTGCAGTCCTGTTTTTCCTAAGGAAATCTCAATAGTAACACAACTTGACCATTTACAACTGTAGTATATTCCTCTCTTGGGGAATATAATTGGGGAGCCTCCCTCCACTGGGAGGGAGGCTAAGGGACTGTCTGGTTAAAACTAATTTAAACCAATATAAGTTGCAGTCATAGCAAACCCTTAAGTGTTGGTCACATACTACTTAAAATACAAAGAGTTGCTGTTGCTTAAGTCCCAGTCTTTTATAATAAGGCTATGTAGCCTAACAAGCTATGCTGCTAACATTAATTTTATTGGCAAATAAATTGATTTAAAATAAGCCCAAAACATAAATCTGTGTTTCCATCTTATTTAACTTCTGTAGCGTATCTAGTTTCATATGGTAGTAAGAGCTCAAAAGGTCTCTAAGCACTAGTTTTAATTTAGATGACATTCAAAATTTAAACATTATAAAAATGACCAGTAAATTTATATGCCAGGATGTTTATTGGTTGCAGATGTTCAGATACTTATAAATGGTTGTAATTTTAATTACTCTCAAATTAGCATCCAGATGCTAACCCTTCATGTTTGCTCTGTGGAGACGAAGCATTAAAAATACATACCTATATTTAAATGAAAGGATACTGTCTCTTTAAGAAAAGCATTTATGTTCTGTTGATGGGAACATTGAACCTGAACAGTGAAACATGAGAATTTTTACAAGTATGGACCATATGAAACATGACGAAGTGTAGCTCCTTAGTTGATTGAATAAGAATAGCATCACGTCATTATATTTAATTACTCTTATGTATAAGAATGTGTTTGTTAAATCTCATAATGAAATACTAATGTAAGGTATTTCCATTTTTAAATGTGTACCAGAATTTTTTTTATTTCAGAAAAGCTCTGAATGTTGAATGTGTGTAAGTCTCCAGGAATGTAACAAGTTGATAAAAACCCCAGCCAAGTCCATCCTCCTTACAGAAAAAAAAAAAGCTGGAATTTCTTTTTTTGGATATTTGTTTTGCAGCTTTCTACGTCTTAAGGCAGAGAATAGCCAGCCTAAGGTGCCAGCCCAAAGGTTAGCTGAACATATTTCTTGAAATAATTTTGGCAAGGTTATGACTTGGAGTTATGGCCTCTAAGTCATAAGTTTACATGAAAACTCTAATGTGTGACAAGAAGATGTAGATGTTGTTTTATTTTTTTTCCTTTTTTAAACATTTGATTTGGGGAAGATGAGGGGGGAAGGAAATTAACAGGGCTGTTTTATCCCAGTCACCTATCCGATGAGATACTTACTTTCTAAACTATTGCACTTTTCCCTTTTCACTCTTTTCCTTTTTCTTTATATTACCCTCAAGCCCCAGGCAATATCTTTTCCTTCCTGCGAATTGTTTATTCTCCCAGCATCATATTTACAAGCTGTCAGACGTAGGAGGCCTAATTTGCTTTCACAGTATTGAATCATGTGCAGCGGAGCTTAGTTTGGGATGGCTGAAGCACTTATTGCCCCCCATTGCCTGCTTTGCACCTCCGCTACAAGTTGTCATTCCCACAACAGGGAAGCTTTACAGCCCCTGCTCTACAGCAGTGTACAACCTGGCATGTTAGAGCAAAATGAAATCAACGCTTGTTTACGTTGGTACCCAGGGCTGTAGTCTGCTGCTGCTAAGGAACTGATAGGTCTTGTTTACTTATCCCTGTGGCGGGAGTACCAGTCTTTTCGAAAGGGGAGCAAAGCAATCAGCTGTTCATCTGTCTGTGAAAGTCAGCTTTGTTACTGTGGTGCAGAAGTAACTCTGCCGAAGCCAGTGGGTGTTATATTCTAATAAAGAAAATGGCAATAGGGCCCAGTTTGTTTTCTGCCACCACATATAGAGACACTCATGCTACCCTGCTTCTACCTGCTGGCATTCAGTAGACACAGAAGGATTCAGGTAACAAACAGGCATTTGAGGTGATAAAGCACCATTCTTTAAGCAATTATCATAAGCCGCTTGAAATGCAAACGTGAAAAGATTGACAAAGCATGAAATATTTCTTGCTTTTTAAATTTTGCATTGTGTTAGATCAAATTTCTCTGATCCTTAAAAAGAGTATGTAGGTGCATAAACATTAGATTAACTTCCACCGACTTCATGAAATCCTGTTGATTTCAGTGTTACCCGTGCTTAAGTTATGCATGCTTTTAAGTGCTGTTCTGAATAACAAGGCATTAATGAACCAGGGTCTGGATTTGTGTATGCAGTTTAGAAACACATTTGGCAGCAGTCATAGGCAAGCAAAGAATTCACTGCAATGAATAGCCCACACTGGTTGCGGTTTGTCATGCTAATGTGCTGTTACCAGAATCATATGTGCAAACTGAGTAACTGATTTACCCAGGCAAATGTAGTCGTTGTGCATGAAAAATTAGGAGCCACTTACTTAATGGAACTGTATGCTTTAGATGGAAGCTTAAGCATGCATTTTGACAACATTTGTTATCGTGAATGTTACAAATAAGAGCAAGTAATTTGTGAAAAAAATATTCCGGCATTAGATACTACCGTTTCATCTGATGATATTATCAGTCTCTAGTTACAGAAATTGGTCAAGGACATTTATTATCTTTCAAAAAATAGAATAAGGAATGTTTTGCAGTGAAATTATCTGAAAATTAATACCCGGTTGCCCTAGTCAGGCTTATTAAGCTCTGCAGAGATCTATATTGTGACTGCTAGTACACTTATTTGGGAAGCAAAGTTATTTTTTCAGAAGTAATTCTTTAATGTGAGTTGTGGGTATGACATGTTTTTACCACCTACTGGTTATCTGTGTGGTAGGTTAAGCTTTATGCATTCTCCTGCATTTGTGGGTAGTAACTCTGAAAGAGCTGCAGTGATTTATTGTACAAATTAGCTCATACCTTTGGGATCCTAGATCAAAATTACTGTGAATAAGGCAGATTTATTTTCCTGAGTGTGCGTTTATGCAATTGCATAATTTGCAAGGAATTGCAAAAGGTAAATAGAAATAGACAGATGTGAGCTGAAGCTGGCTCTGAGAAGGAGAAATACAGAACGTGAGGTTGTGGCCTCTTAGCAGCACAGGAAAAAGGGAACCAGTTTCAGGTGAAGGAGGAAGCATAGAGGAAAGCTTGTTTCACCAACATGCAAGTCTTGTTATAAAGTTGGCACTGAGGGAATGTAAATAGCGATCTTAAGATTGGAAGTCTGTTCTGCATTCAGCAGTATAAGAGGATCCAATAAAGGTTTGTGAAGCTGAATAGTATGTAATCATCTCTGGGCTAATAATGCACAAATAACTTTATGTGTTTGAGCAAACTGAATTTTAAGGAGCTGGGATTTAGAGTCAGAATAAAAAAGGGGTTATATGTTACTTGGGAAGAGAGGGCAGAAGCAAGGCCATTCAGGCAGGTGGTCGGCATGGTTTATTTCAGATGCAGGTGTTCTCATGCATATTTTTAGACTTCAGAGAGGTGAAAATGGAAGTTCAAGGACAGTTTGGACATCTGCAGTCTGGCATTTTGAGGCAGATTTGAGTGAGGGGATGCAGAAAGAGCAATTAAAGACTTTGAGGGCAACTTCTGTTAATGAAACCCTCTTGTGGGCATCACGCAAGAAAGAAAATGCAAGGAATAAAAAATAACTGTTAAGGGACAGAAATTAAGAAGCAACGCTGAGAAAAAGAATGTAAGAATTATACACAGAATTATACTCAAGGTTGTGTTGATGAAAGACATAGCTGGGAGTGTTGGAAAACCAAAGAGGAGTTAAATTGGTAGAGATACTCCTAAGAAAGCTCAGGGATTTCCATTGTTGGCCACAAATGAAGAGGAGTTAGGCAGGTAGGAACCAGGCAGTGCAACCGTCTGGTTAGGACTCCACCAAACAGTATTTGGTAATCAAGAAATAAATCATTAATGTTAAAATTCTAGATGAGGAGGAATAGAGGGGACAGCATGTGGTAGTCACCCATGCCCTCAAAAAGTGGGCAGCTTAGTACAGAGGAACTGACAAAACCTGAGGGGGACTTCCAAGTCAGTTCTGAGGGAACTGTGTGCAGGGAGAAAATAGAGATGAAATGTAAAAAACCCAACATTATAGACCCATAATTAATTGATTGAATGTGTTTTTCACTTATTGTATTTACGCAATAATTAAAAAATAATAATTCAGAGTGATTGAGTCATGCTCAGACACCACCAGCAGCTGGTCGTGGCTGGGAAGATTTGGTGGCTCCTGGCTTTTACACAAGCATAACATGTGCTAACAGCATGTGCATTTCACCAGAAATTCTTTCTCCCTCTCTCCCACACTTGGAAAAAAACCCCAACCCTAAACCCAAACCACTCATTCATGTTTCAATTCCTTGTGTTATTTTTACAGGAAGTTTAATTTGGCCTGAAGTTTAAGCGAGACTTAAAACGTGGTATTTATCATCTTATTTTGGAGGAAAAGGTACTTCTTGCCAACCTTTAAAATAGGTACTTGGTTAGATTTTTGGCCAAATAAAAGGCTTTAGGATACCTCCTTGACTCCATTGAAGTTGGTGGGAACTGAGACAGAGCAAGTCTTCACATGTGGCCCAAAAAAAGGATTTAAAGTATCAAACTGAAATGAATAATCATGAGACCAGGGTTTATTTGCTGGTATCTCTTGAATGAATTGGGTAACAAAATGAAATGGAAAGTTTAGTGGTATTTTATTCTATGGCCTAGATAAACAAGAAGCAGTTGACTAAAGATGAAAATAGCTGTGCTTAGGATTTCTTTCTGTTTATCTCAGTCCACATTACTACCCGATGGGAGTGCCAGTTTAAATGCTTTCAGAGAGGAATCCTTGGAGAAATGGTAGGTCTTTGTTGATACTGATTCAACAATAAATTAGCAATCTTTGTTTTAGTGGCAGTTGTCTATACAAGCGTACTTTTAACTTTTGTTTAAAACAATTATTATTATAAAGAGTAGAAAGTTTTTACTTCTTTATGGCAACCTTTTCAGACTCTTACCTTCTGGACTTCATTTCCCTAAGTGCGTAAGAGGGCGACTTTCTCAGCCTGATGTAACTCTCCGCTGTCTACATTTCATTCTTGCCTAGTAGGGAAGTGAGTGTTACGTAGCAGACTGAAATCCACGGACATGGCTTATTTCAGTCATTGTAAATGTGAGTTGATCAGAGGGAAATTATGTTCTATTGGTTGTTGTGGTCGGTTGTGGGGGAATTTTTTAATTGTCAAGATGCAAAAAATATTAGTTGGGAGACTTTTTTCCTCACTACTCGTGAGTCTAATTGTGTGAAAAAAATGGATAAACTCCATGTGTTTGTGTGTGAGCAGAGCAACTGAAATATTCTATTCTATTCAATTCTATCTGGAATTTTGCAAGAAAATAAGTAGAGTGGAAAATTCGAAGAAAAAACCCAGTTGCATGAGCATACGTAGTGTATGCCTAGACTCATACCAAACAGCTGAAATAATTGCCTGCTATTAAAAGAAATGCTGAAAGTCAGGCTTAGGCATATTTTGATACCTGGATCTCATTGTTGACCATGTTCAAATGGAACCCTTCGGGAGCCAGCGAGTGTACCTCTGCTGCCATGCCCTCCTCTGGAGAAGGGAGTATTTGCAGGCTGCAGGTGGCAGAGCCTGAGCCAGCCCATCTCTCTGGGCCTGGTGGCCCTGGTAGGGGTCAGTGGGAAGGGCATACAGATGTCGCTGGTGGAACCCCAGCCAGGTGTGCAGACTTGGCTGAACACCATCTGCTTCTTAAGACCTCAGCACCGTGCAAAGCCCTGTTCAAGTTAATGGGAGGATATACAAATTGCTTGGTGAGGGTGGGTTGATTCCTGATAGGAAATGCTGTGGGATGTATCTGTGGTGTTGACTGAGCTACAGATGTTGTTAGGCTTATTGAAAAGCGCTTTTTTTCTTGTGTATAGAAATTCTTCGGTTGTAACGTTGTACTGAATTTCAGCAGCTGTGTATAAATAAGATGCATAATACTTAAGTAGCCAAAGTGCACAGAATGTACTCTAATAAACAGGATTTCTTCAAGTACAGTGTCTGGCAGCAAACATAGGTTTCCAAATACCTGTTTAATGTGCAGAAAAAGCGTTTTATGATGACTTTGACTTTATGGATAGCAGTTTGCTAATCATTAGGAAACTTTCCTTGTGGTAGTAGGGATTCTTGAGCTGTAGACTGCTGAGGGGCTGAGATGTCCTTTAACTGACACTTTTAAAAACAGAAAAGAGATCTGTCATGTGATTTAAGTGCCTTTCTTAATTATATCTTGAGACTAGGAGGTAGACTAGATCAGGAGTTACCCACCTCTATGTCATACAAGACATTAAATACTGCATAGTATGGAGCTAAGTTTGTTGAGATGTATTGGACTAGATGATCTCTTGAAGATCCCATAGATCCGATTGTTTGATTTAATAACATGGCCTATGTTACATGTTTCATATCTGTAGACAGTTGTATATTATTTGTTTTAAACAAATCCTAATACATAATTTTTGTTCTAGTACGATATCTGACCTACTTGGTTAACTGAGAGAATTAAGCAAAACATCTGATTCCTAATACAAACATATTTGACCTGAATTAGAGGAACATTTTCATTTCTAAATGAAATTAAAATCTCATTTATTTCATTACTGAATGTTATAAGGCTCTTTGTCTTCAAGTATGAGATCTTTTTTCTCTATCTGACCTGCTGCTAATTTACAATCTGTGCAATTGAGGGAGGGACCGAGACTTAAAAAAAGTCAGTTAAACTAAAGTTGCCACAGGTTCAGCTGCTGAACTGTAGCACTTCACACCAAGCTGATCCCATGGTGCTTTGTGATTTTTAGAGAGTAATTATTACGTAACTGTATCCCACTCCACAATATAGATTTTCTTTAAAGTGCAGTTGAAATTTCGTGGAAGCTTTCAAAAACATAGTCATTTCTGTTTCTCTGCTGTTGTTTGGATCACATCTTTTTCTTTCTCCCCAGTGACTTCAAAGTCATGAAGCTGGTCTTCATAGTCTTTGTTTTGCTGCCGTCACCTCTAATTAGACTTGGGTTTATGATGTCAGGAAGATGAGAGTCTCAGTGTCTAAATGAGCTCTTACACAAAGAAGATTTTTTTTTCTGTTTATGACCATAGTGATTAAAAAAGCAGTAATTGTTTCCAAGTACAATGTTCTAGAAGTTTTTCATGATGTATCAGTTGCTCTTCAGTCAAATCTGTCCATTACCCAAGGGCGTACTTTTTGAAAAATACCTTTTAGTAGTCTAAGCAGCCCCCTTTCCTAACGCTTTAATTGAGAGGTGTTTCTGAATCTGAATCCCATTTCTTTGTTTCTGGACAGTGTTTACTGGAAAAAAAAAATCTTGCATTAACTAGAAACATCCCTCTCTGTTGCCTTTTAAGATATCCCTTACAACAGTTTTCAAAAAGAGACTGCACCATCGTGGTAGGAAGATCTGTCAAGAGCTGTAGATTTAAAATAAAGTTTTATGTTCTCAGGGGATATCGCTGGCCATATATATATATTAAAAAAAAATTTAAAGAAAAAAGTGCCCTGATAATAAAGGGCAAATGCAGTCCTATAACTGGAGCAAACTCCTTCTACACTAACAGTTGCTTCTGTGGATGCATTTGTGGGAATTGCTGATTCTGGGTACTTTGAATCTTATGGAAAAGATTTCAGAACATCAGAGATGTATTTGCATAGTTCTTCCACAACCAAAACTAATCTCTTGTGCCTGTTTTAATTTTGTTTAATTCAACCCTGTTGAACAGCTTGGCTAGAATGCAAGCTACATTTTTGAGGGCCTTCTGACAGATTTCTGTTAAATTACATCCTTAATACATCCAGTTTTATGATACAGCCTGTTGTCAGATTAATTAATATTACATATGGATCTAGTTAGTTACTTTGTAAATTCCAAATGATACTGTTAGTTTAGAAAATGAACTTAAAGCCAGAGTAAATAGTAAATCCTGATTACAAGGTATTCAATTTATGCCGCCCTCTGATTCCTATCTAATTTGTGTCCATCTTGCTCAGTAAGCTCACCAGAATTTTTCATTTGCATTTTGTCATATAATTATAAACAACATTTTAGAGCATAGTAGATACTTTAGTTTTCCAGTAGATTGAAACAGTATATTCAGTAATAGAAAGACGTTTCTAATAAAAAAGACCTGGAAATGTTGTTTAAAATTTTCAGCTGTAAAATGGTTTCCAGAGTTATGCAGGACTCGTTGCACTCTGAAAATATTCCGGTTAGCTAATCCTACATCAGTAGAAATACATTTGTGCACGAATCCTTGTATTTCTTCAAAAGCAATGCTTGTTTTATTACTGAAGTTTTAAAAGTTTGTTTTATTAATTTTATTTGTGTTGTATTGAGAGAGGTACCAAAAAATGGCTTCCTAACTATTATTTCTTGGAGTTCTGTATTTATGCTCCATTTGGTGAATTAGAAATTACCTGGCAAATTTTACTCTGGAAGCCGAATAGACCATAACTTCACATTCTGAGACTATATCTGTACGGCAGGTTGGGTAATAAATGCTTGAAATGTTCTGAGTAGAAGTGACTTAGATGTGTGCAGTGATAAAGCAGCATATTACAGTCAAGTGTTGCTTTTGCTTTTACCCAGTCCTTTTTTCCTCCAAAAGAAGAAAAAATAAAAGTAATTCCCGTGCCAGAATCCAAACACCTGAAAGGGAGACATTCAGGGAAAACATTGCTTAGTGAGGGGGTAAAGAGTGTTGCCTTATAGTCATAGAGGAAAACAGTGAATGCTGGGATCTGTGCTGCTGCCTGTCAGTGACTGAACCATGGCTTTGTTTGTATGTCACCTATGACATTGGTGTATGCATGTTTGTTATAGCTGGGGCATATTCCAGGTTTACCAAATTTAATGGCATGAATCATAGTACATACATACATAGAGAGAGCAAGTGAAGGCACAGTGCCTGCTTGCTGGTTAGGTATTAAAAGGATTTAATATCCCAGAAACAGCACAATGTAGTGCTGTACAAAAATAGACTACTAACAAGCATCTCACTCTTCCCACAGGTATTGGGGGGGTGGTTATTTTTGAAAGTGTGCATGATGTTTTAACAGTGGTATTTGACGCATATAATGATGCTGAAGGGAGGAACGTAAACGATACTATTTGTTAGGCCATTGCCATTTGTTTCAAAGTAAAGTGCTGTCAGCCATGACTGGAGTGGAAGAATAATGAGTATTCCTCTATTTGCAGCTGTATGCCAGCCAGGATGCAAACATGGTGAATGCGTTGGGCCAAACAAGTGTAAGTGCCACCCGGGATACACTGGAAAAACCTGCAACCAAGGTAAGAAAGTGAAGTCCAAGAAAGAGAATTTCTTCTTGAAAGCACAGAAGTATTGTTGATCCCTCTCGCCCCAAATGCTGTGTGTGTCGCCTGCGATTATAGCGTAATGAACTCATATACCAGCTCTGTTACTGCTGTAGCTATTCTGACATTGGGACTGATATTTGTAGAGTCCCATGTGTGACATGTTGATTTTAGAGTGAATTATTTTCTTTAAAAATAGGTATATATTTCTTTTCAGATTTACTAATCCTTCCCAAACTGATGTGGAAATGAATGTTGTATTTTTCAGTTTTGTTTTAAGTTTCATTTATTCTGTCATCTCTCAAATTATCCTGTCTCCTTTTCCCTTTACTCTGGGCTGACATTTTAAAGGATGGGTTGTTATGATTTTATTCTTCTACACCTGTTTTGGTCAGTCTGGAACTTTTTTAGAAAACAGTGCAGTGAACTAACAGTTGTTATATGTATATGTAATAATTTTTATATGTACTAATTACTTTAACAATATCAAAAGAATACTGTGCAAATTGCTGGAGGCTGCAGTCTTGAACTAAACTACTCACTTTCCGCTAAATGCTAAGGAAGGAAAAAAATGTGGTGATAAATGATTAAAGGAAGGCAGCATTGATCAACTATTCCTGCATGGTATTGGTGGCAAAGTTGCCATGGCAGATGTGCGTGAGGTTTCTGGGATGCCTGCTGACTGTGGTGTCCCAAATGTACGCCAGTTCAGGTGACTGCAGCCTGTATCTATTCTATTATATGGTGAGACCCTTTGATCTGTTCCTGGGATCAGGGTATGCATTCTTGCCACGTGCTGATTCTGTGTTAGGATGAGACCTGAAAGTGCACAGTGGATGCAGAGTCTGCTTTTTCTGGGAGGAAATTCAAACCACACAGGATAAGTGTGAATTCTGTTGTTATACCTTAATATAGCACCTGTCCTGTTCAGTCCGTGGGCCATCTTTCTCATTTCTGTTCTAGAATAATAATTAGTAATAACAGAAAGTAATGGTGCTGGCAGAAGAAATGGTGGAGTTCCCCTGCAGAGGTGGAAGTCTTTCTAGGATGTGTGAATGGTGCTGGGCTATAAAGTATGCTCAGATTCTTGGTGAATGGCGTTCTTTGAGTACAGGCACTGATAAACAGGCTTTCCATCTTATGTGTTCATGAGCCTCGTGGATCAAGCCATATTCCAGGGACCAATCCAAGAGAAGAACCCAGCCTTACAGCAGAGCTGTCAAACCCCGACTGTGTGATGATGCCTGAATGCTTGTCCTTTTCCAGTGGCACTGCAGCTGCTGTGGCAATCTAGACCTTGCTTTAGGTCACTCAGAAGTTAGGATTAGCTGATACTTCTTTTATTATGTTGCTATCATCAGCAATTAAATTGCAGTGACTTTGCACAAGAGCTAACCATATACTCTCCCCACAGTATTCAAATCTCCTGAGCAGCTTTAGTGTTTCCCTTCTAGCTTTTTGATCCAGGTTTACAGCTGTAACCAGTTAAGAAAAAAGCTGAGCAACTTTAAAGAAAATACCCTGTGCCAGCTTTCTAATCTATAGTGATAATAACGGAACTAATACTTCTTTCAAAATGTGTTCGTTGGAAAGTTGAGACCTGCTCTTCAATAAGATCTATGTTCACAGACAAATATGAATAGTTGAAAACTTGTGATTTTTGCTTGCAATCTAAAGCATATGCAGGTTAACTTCATGTGGTTGGGAAAGGTTGTCTTTATGCAAGGAATGTAAGGCTGCTTTTCTGTAACTTACTATCCTCCTACCCTGTTTGTTCCAGGAACATGGTGCAAAGTTTGCTACTTTCTCTTTTCATAATGCAATTCTTGTCAGTACTTGAGAGACTTGTTTGTTTGTTTGTTTAAATTATGAAGTAATGCATATTACAAAGATCTGGTAATTTCATTTTTATTATGCCTTCTTCCCATCCTGTGAAGATGAGCAGCTATATACAAGTCCACCTGGTCAGAGCGGTGAAGCACTTCTATTCCGCCCCCTGGATCATCACGCAGGAAATATAGCATCAAGGGGTGAGATGGTCCTGTATTTCAGGTGGCGTGCTCCTTCTACCTGCACGGCTTGAAACAGAAATACAATTTCTTGCAAAGGGGTTGGAGGCTAATAGACCGATGGCTGTGATGCAAAAGCTGAACCTGCAGTGTCATTAGCATGCAGAACGAATAACTGATTGTATTTCCTTGATGCTGTGTGCCTGTATTCTGAAAAGGCTTGACTCTCCACCATACTTACGGTTGTAACTTGCTTTTGTTTCTTTCCTGTGCTTTTTTTTCAGGGCCTGCACTTTTTGTTTTTTAGTTCTTTTGTGAAAAGAGAGCGATGGAAATTGTTTGCCAGGTTAGGTAAAGACAAAACTGTGATTTACCTAAAGCTGGGAGTTGAAGAAAATTAGGGTTCTTAACTTCTGCATTTGGCAGCTGTTGATTAATCAGACTAAGTGATGTGAACAAAACTCTTAGGGTGATGCAAATATCCTCTCATGTTTGACATGGTAGTGTGATGACAGTTGCTGGAAATGAAAGCTGATCTACTGTTTATAGTATGGTGATAACAGTTTAATTTTTAACTTGGTTTCTGGTCCCTGGCTTTCTATTTTCAAAGTCTGAGTAAATTTGGTATTGAATATTTGACCTCTGTGTTGCCTGATCCAAGTTAATAGGCAGAAAAAGGCAGAAAAGGTCTGAGTGCTGGAGTCTTCTGCAGAAGCTAATTAAAGAAAATAGCAGAGTGTAGTATTGCGTCTTCCTAGGGATAAGTGCCCCATTGTTAAGTGTGCACTGAAGTCGGTCATTACCCAAGATCATGTGTGACTACTACCACGCAGTAGTCACATCTGGATTTGCCAGCATAGCACTCTCGTTCTTTCTTTGCATTCACATTTTCATTTCATTTCTTGAAAAATAAAATACTTGTGCTCAGCAGCCTGCGCTTATGTTACAGACTTGCTTTCCATAGTGCCCGAAACTGTCAGTCTGCTTTTAGGTACAGTACTGTCTTATGTTATTTTGAAATTAAGAATGCTGGTTTTGCATTGACTGTACAGTTGTAGGCAACATGGGAATTTAAGGGGCCGAACAATTAAATTCTCAAGAGCAGGAGAGTGAGTGGACATTCCTGCAAAGACATTAAAGGGGTTTGTTAAACTTTTAAATAAAGTTGGGCTTTATATTTTGAATTCCAGTGTGAGATTATAAGTGACTAAAAGAAATGATGATATTTTACTAAAAAGAAGAATGATGTAAAAGTGTTATTCTTATTACCCTTTGAGTTTATACATTTTAGCTTTAAATTTTTTTAGAGGAAACTTCTGCTGTTTTCTTATTTCCTCTTTCGATGCATAGACATTTATACTGAGATGCCTTTATAGATGTTGCTTGAAATACAGAGTTGATAAGTAACCAGCATTTGTTCGAGTTATGTTGCTGTGGCTGATTTTTTGACTGCTAGCATTAGCCTGAACCTGTTCTTGAAAAAATAGACCTTACTTAAGGAACAAGAAACACAGAAACAGATAGCAGGAA